AATTATCCTTATATATTTTGTAAATAGTGATAAAATTTATAGATCTTGATAAAACATATAGTGGAAATTAGAAACATTTGCAGTTCTCTTTTTCAATTGTTGATGCACAGAAATTAGTTATATTCTTTTAAGCAGTTATTTCTATCATTAAAATAAGATCTTATCTCATTTATAGAGATCAACTTCAGAAATATATACTGGTAAAAATTTGAGGTAAAAATATGATTGAGGAATCTGTTATGTACACAAATTTTTATTTTAAGAAAGAAAAAACTATGAATGTTGAACAGTCACAACAGAAGATTTAGTAATAAAAATGGAAAAAATGCAGTAGTTTTAAATGGATATAATCTTCACAAAAGTCCATTTTAATTTTGGATCTAGATCTACATGTTAAGTTTTCTTTTTAATTTTATATGTATATAAATTTTTAATGAAATAAAGTAATGAGATTTTTTAAGAATGTTGAAAAGGATATTTTGATTTTGAAGCATCTTTGTAGAAGCAAACTTTTGATTACAATTACCATTAAACAACTGTTTATGAATCTTCATACATGACAGGTATAAGGTTATCCAATTGGTTATCTGTGAATAATCACACAATCTGGTTAACATGATAAACAAATTCTGGCTTCTTATAGATCACTATCAAAATATTTTCATTTTGAGCTGTATTCTATAGGTAAACAGACATAAGTTATACATCTTTTGTAGAAATTTGATATTTTGTGCCAAGGAAGTTGAGAAATTATTATCATTATTATTATTAACAACAACAAAAACAACAGTGATTTATCTTTACTGCTACAGAAGCTATAAAGGCAGTTTGACCGTGACCACCGATTCCTCCCTCTCTTATTGATACTCATCTCTTGACTTGACCTAAACATCCAGCTTAGTTATGGCATTTGCATGAAGGGTAGTATCTTATTACCTAATATATTTACTGATGTATTTCATGTTGTATATTGAAACTGGTTTATGTAAATGATTTCTAAGGTGACTTTATGGGGAGATTATAACGTATTTTTCTTTTATATGTTTCTTTCTTCCATTTATAAATTAGATAACAGTATGAAAATTGATATATTGTTTTTTATGATCCCTGAAAATTTTCATAGCAGTTGGTTTTTAATAAAAAAAAATAATAGGGAAAAATCCAGTTTTAAATTTTTGTTTCTATTTATATAAAAATATATCATATATGTATATATAATATATTTTTCTCTATAAACATGAATTAAAATATTTTTTAAATATTTTTTTTATATTTGTAATAAAATTTAAGTTTCAAAACTTAACAAAAAATAAACAGATTTATTTGAAATTGTATTAAGGAGTAGAAGAATGTGAATTAAATGAAATTAAATTAAAATGAAAAGATGATATTGCTTAGTGAATATTAGTGACATAATTTATGGAGTTAATTTCATTTTAAGTTCTGTAACTTAAACCAACCTACAATAAACACCTTATTTTTTAAGGTTTCTTCTGCAGTAAAGAAATGACAATTAAAAGCTAATATTACCTTGATTTTGTTTCATAGCATTTGTATCAAGGATATTATTGTGTAAGCCATTTAATCAAGAATAGATTTTTTTCATAAATGGAAAGCTGAGTTGGCCTGCTTCATTGTTGACAGCAGCATGAATGATAGAAATCTTGATCAAGCATTTGAAAGCTTTTTGGGGAAAAACTAATTTCTTCAGATTGATGATAATGGTAGTATTTATTCAGTTTAACTACATAGGTATAAATTAACTTCATTCATTAATCATCCATCTTAGCATAGAAATAAATAAATATACACACATACATACAGTTCTTTTTCTTTTCTTTTTTTATTTCTTTTTATAAATTAACCACCTTTATATCCTAATTCAAATACACCTGATTTTTTAAAAAGCGTAATTTTTTTGTCAGTGAAATAACTTTTGAAATCAAGGCAAGTATTTTCTCACATGTTGGATAAGTTCAATCACACAGCTTTATTGAATGCTTTCCAATAAAGTGTGAACAGATCATTAAAAAATAGTGGAATATGTTCTTAGATGTATTATTAAGGGTTATTTTTATTTAACTAGTGTTTTTAATTCTAGCTGAAATAGTTTTCTTTTTTTCACTTTGTACTAATGTCATTGGAAAGGGCATCAATCTTTTTTTTCTTCCTACACCTATAGATTAAATAGGTCAGACTAAACTCTCTAGATTGAGTTGTTAAGCAGTCTAGAAGGACAATTCAAATCCATGGAGAAGGCAATAAATAGGAAACCACCCCACCATATTTCCCAAGCACATTCATGAAAACTGGAAAAAAAAAAGAAGGAAATTGTAGAGAGCTATGATTGCCTATGTCCTGAAGGAGTGTATACTTTACTGTGAGTAAAGTAAGGTACTTGAATTATATGTTATCACAATTGTCTGTCCTTGACCTTATCCAGGTAAAATTAGCACCAATGTAAAAAATGTAAAAAAAGAGTAGTCTTTCATTCAGTTTGCAGATGTTATTGTAGTATTCAGCTAATTTAGAATTTTCTATAAATGGTCATCAGATAAATTTAAAATAAAGAATGACTTAAAAAACGCACCCACTTTTAGAAAATCATTATTTAAAATGTGATGAATTCTGTTAATATTTACTCATATAAATTGGTATCTCATTACTGCTTCATTAAACACTTTTAGCTTTTGTGTTTTTTTTAATTTCTTATATAGGAATACACATCTTTTCTAGTATTGCTGTAAAGCTAATGTAAAACATTGCTTTATCATAAAACTAGCAGTAGAGCCCGGCGTTGCCCGAGGATATAACAGTAAGAGATAGATCAAGTATCCACCATCATAAAGACTGAAAAATAAAATTGACAAAGATTATTGTTTAAGGTCGACGGACACGCATGTCTTAATTAGTTTTTTTTTTTTTTTTTTTTACAAATTGGTCAAACCCAAACTCAAACAAAAACTCTGTTTTCAATCGTTATGAGTCTACTGATTGAATAGAATTTTATTATAAATAATTGTCTTGTAAATGGAATTTTTAAAGCATTCTGAATGTAAAAATAAAGAAAAAAAGTGTGCAAGACAATAAGAAACACTACATGCCAAAAAAAAAAAAAATCGGGTTGAAAAATGTAGTTTTAATCTTTTAGTTTTACAATTTATGAGTTTTACTTATTGAATACAGTAAAAAATTGCATATTTTGCTTGTGGTGATTCATGATTAGAATTCTGATTTGAATATATTTTCCACTCGTTGTTTCCCAAAAAAAATATTAACCATTTGGGTTTTTATTAATTATGATCTAACAAATCTTATTCATTTAGTAGCATTTCTGTAATAATAATCTTTTTTAAATTTATGATTTTTACTCATTGAATACAGTAAAAAATTGGACACCATGTGTATAAAGTAGTTTCCGTTCCAGTTATTATTTTTAGTTAGGACTTGTGTATGTTTAGATTTCATTATCTTTCCCTAAAGATAAAGAATTTATCCGATTTTGTATTAATTATTGTTTAAGGTTAACGGACACGCATGTCTTAATTTTTTAATTTTTATTTTTTTTTTTTTTACGAATTGGTCAAACCAAAAAACAAAAACACTGTTTTCAATCGTTATGAGTCTACTGATTGAATAGAATTTTTATTATAAATAATTGTCTTGTAAATGGAATTTTTAAAGCATTCTGAATTTTAAAAATAAAGAAAAAAAGTGTTAGAAATAAGAAACACTACCTGCCAAAAAAAAAAAAAAAAAAGTGAAGTTTGTTTTATCGGCTGAAAAATATAGGAAATCCGATTTGTCCCCTTCCATGTCTCTTAATCCTTTCAAAGATTTTGTTGAAAACAATTATATTTTTCCCATTTTTGACGCTATTAGAACCACCACAAGGTAATTTTATGTAGTCCTGTGAAGTTTTGTTGAAATCGGTTGAAAAATGTAGGAAATCATCAATATATAAACACACACATACACACACACAATCTGCATTTTATAATAAGTAAGATAATTAATTTAAACATGCATGTGCACACACACACACACACACACACACACACACACACACACACACACACACACATATAAACACACACATTCTTGTTACCAAACAGATGATTCTATTTTTATAGTTTAACTAATGGTAAACGCAAATATATCTAATTTTTTGTGTCATTCATTTATATATTTTAGTTAATTGTAGGTACAACTTAATTCTTTAAAACACCATAGCATTAATACTGACAATATTGTATTTATTATTGTTGTTATTATTCTTGTTAAGAATGGGTTAATACCAATGGCAATTTTATTGAATAAATTTACTCTTTAGTATTTCAAGATATTTTTGTGTAATTTTGGTAAATATATCTGTTAAAATAAGATTACTTATTACTGGTTAAAGTTCGTATCCAGTTTTTTTCTCTTAATGCATCCCTATAACCAGTACACTAGTTAAAGCTATTAACAACAGAAAACATACTAAATCTTCACCTTGGGACAGTGGATAACATCACCTGATAAATAGATCCCCAGCCAATAAGGTTATTGTTAATTCAATTCTTATATATTCCTTTGAAAGAACTTATCTATGTTTTGAGTTTCATCTAATAAAACAAAAAATGAAATAGCAACATTAGGTAATCATCTTGGGGTTGGTATTCTATGTTCTATTGATATACTCTGTCATCATCTATTCTAACTGTAAAAGGTGTGCTAGATTTTATTCCAAGTTGACCAAGTATATCCTCTGTGTGTGTGTGCATATGAAAGATAATTGTTTCAGCTATTACTAGATACCAAATAATTATTGTCTATAAAGTTTTCTTTTTAAAGTACTTTGGTGTCAAAATTTGAGTCAATTGGCATGTAAATCTTTTATAAACTATATGCAATTATAATATCATGGATTTTGTATGTGTTGACTCTATGTAAAATTTTAATACTATTTTGTTCATATCTGTTTTGTTCAGCTAAATTTCTCTTTTTGTATCTTTCAGAACAAGTTTCTAAGCTTATCATTGGCTTTCAAAACTGATAAGTTGACACTAAACCAGCGGCTACAAATTCAGAAGAACTCACGGGATTTAGCAGAAGAAAACATCCAAAAGGAACTTAATAGTCTGAAAGAGGTCTCAGAGGTAAGTCTCAAAACTACAAAAGATAATTCTTTTCTAACCAATGCTACTGATTTGTAAATAAAATTCTTATATTCCTTTTTACTAAATTTCTCCATATTTTTCATGATTATTTTTTTAAAGTTATAAGAATTTCAAATTTGATTTTGTTTATTCATTTTTCTGTATGCTTTCATACTTGACCCACAATTTATCATTTGTAACCTGCAGTTTTAGCAACATATATTAATTATATTTGATCTTATCTAAAATTAAACATTTTTAATCATTTTTTTTCTTTTCATTTTTACTATTAGTAAATATCTTATAGATCAAAGCATACTTCCCAATATTTTACATCTCAAACATCTATTCTTGAATACTGCTATCTTATTCTCTCAGTGATTGCATTTGATTTTGGTATTTTCTAATCATTTACAAGCTTCTAGAATTATTAATATACAAAAATAATCATCTGAGTTTTAAGTACTGTAAAAATTATTTATTTTATTTTTTTTTTAGATTTGTGGAAGTATTATTAAATGTATATTTTATTATAAATCAAATTCATGGACTTATATGCTAGAAAAACTAGTGTCATGATGTAATGAATAATGTTCAGATTTCATAAAAATATTTTAATACACAGCATCACATTAGATTGTAGTGATCAATAAACTATATATACACACACACATCACCACTCGGTATTGACCTCAGTGTTCACTCTTATATAGGCAGGACTGGAAGCTTTGGTAATGACATCCCTGCCTATGTCAACTATGGCTTCCTTGAGAGCCTCCTTGGTGTTGTAGGGCCTGCAGTTCACCTCCCTCTCCATAAGGCCCCACACAAGAGTTGAGACTATTACAGGTTGGCAATGAGGTGGGCAGGCATAAGTCAGGGAGCCAGTGATACGGTGAGCAAGTTGTGCCTCTTGCTCACATAAGACTTATAATTCATGTCCTCCTTGATAATATGCCCAATTGTTCACCTGTGGGTGCCCATTTCCTTGGCAATTTTCTTCATGCTTTTACTGGGGTTCTCCTTGACAACCTCTGAAACGTTGGCGACAAACTCGGGCATCCTGGTGGTGCCAGGGTGCTTCATATGAGTCTTATGTTCTGGCCTGAAATTGTCTTTGTCATCTGATGCTATATATACCTTTGCAAGGTCATAGACCATGGTTTTAGGGTATTTAAACCATTCAATGATTTCCTTGTCTTTGTGGCTGGCACAAAAGCTCTCTACAACAGCAGCTCAACAATCATATTCTGAAGACAGTCGATTACTTAGCAACTTGTGTGTCAATGGCCAAACAGTTACTGAAGTGTAGCACTTTCTAATGATGTTCCTGAAACCTCACTATGCTGTGATGTCATGGCACTATTGCCACATAGAAATTCCCTGATTTATCTGATCCACACTATATATTTACAAAGTTATTTCTAAGTTTTTAAGTGATAATGGATTGTATTTATAATGCAACATTATTTCTTATTACTTCAAACATTATAGCTAGTGGATATATATTTATATCCATTAAATATAATGTTTAAACTAATAAGAAATAATATAGGATATTAAATAAAATACATGAACTTCTTTAAAATGACTTTGTTTACACTTCGAATATGAAAATAAAAGTTAGCAGGTATTGTCTTCGAAGGATCCAAACAAGAGATGTGCATTTCTTAAGTAAGGTAAATGAGCTTTGTTTGACTGTTCCCAGCTGGAAGGCACATTTTCTTTATTAAGACTCTGAAATGCACAGGCCAGAAGACATAAATTTACACTGTTTAAAATAAAAATCAGGGATGTCTACTCAAACACATGTATCCACTAAATGATTAAAATAAAGTGTGTGTGTAATTGATTGTAATTTGATTTTATTTTGAATGTATCAATATTATTAAATTATATGAATACCAAATAATGAGAAATCTGATCATTATCAGATTGATCCATCATTATTATTTGGGACAATATCTTCACCTTTACAGCAATTAACCTTATACATAAAAGATTATTACAAATATAAAAGATAATTTAAAAAAAATTAACAGTTTAGTCAAAAAGAGCTCTTTATTTAATACTAAGAGTTCAATCTTAAACAAAACACATCAGTATTACTTAGTAGCTATTGATGTTCAATGAAAACAATTTTGTATAATTATATCTAAGATTGTGTTCAGTTAGTTTAAAAAATTTGTTTTCCACGTTGGTTCAGTAACAAATATTTCCTAGTATAAGGATCTGTTTTATATTCCAATGCTACAGATTATTGGGCCTCCAGTTTCTTTGTAATTTGGGAAATAAAACAATCTTTATAGATATTAATAAGATTTATTATAGCATCTACCTTTCTTTGTTTTGTTTTTTAATATATTAGGATCTACTTAAAGTGATTTGTTTTTCCATTAACCATTCAGCCATTTCTTGATTTCTGACAAATGGAAAAATAACCAATATTTCATGTAAATGCTACTTTGAACATGTTCTTCCTGTAGTTTTAATTATCAGAATGTATAATGTGTATCATGATTTTACTAAATTTTAGAACAATGGCTTAGAGTATCTATTGTAAAGGAGACTACAGTTATCAACTTAGAATAAATGTTTACTATCAGTAGGAAGCAAGATATCATTAATTTCTCAGTTAAATCTCAAATGTGTTTTTTTGCCAATATTAAAAAACTGATGATTAAGCAGCAAATTTTGGAATTTTTATTTTTTTATTGGTTTTAATAAGTTTTGGTATTTAGTCTGTATGGTATGCAGTAAAAATAAAAAGGGATGGTAAGTGGTCAGGAATTAAGTTAATACAGGACATAAAAATTATTTTTTGAAATTATCAATGATCTGCAGTATGCTATAGTCCAGTTATTTCTTAAGTTTGACTCATTAGTTTTTAAAAATATCTTTTATTACTCTTAAAATAGTTTCTTGATTATTGGATGTTTTTCATTATATCCATTTCAATCTTACATAAACTTTCACAAATTCAGTCCTTTACCAGAGTATTTCAAAATGGTAAAGGACTGAGTTTGTGAGAGTTTATGTAAGATTGAAATGTTGTCTTTTCCCTCAGTACAGTGTTGAGGTAAACATTTAAAAAAAAAAATTTTCGTATTTCCCAATCTTGTTCTCTTTGTAAGCATTTTATACACAGTTGTAAGTGTAAAGACAGCAAAAAAAAGCCTTTTGAGGCTTCAAAGAACTGATATCTATGACAAATTTCAATAGTAATTAGGCATATATATATATATATATATATATATATATATATAATTTTCAAAACTATGTTATTTTGTATATCCACAATATAGTTTGTAACACTGATACTAAAATTAAAGTAAAAACCAATCTGAATTTTATTATAATTATTTTGAAATGGCACTGTAAGAGAGGTTATTAAAATGTTCAGGTGATAATAAAAATGCTACTATGAGTATAATATCTTAAGATGAATATTCCATATTATAATACATAATGTTATAGACAAGCTTATGGTTGCAAGAAAGAAATACGATAACAGCAGAAATAGATTTACGTGATTTATTTCAACAGGAACGCGTGGGTTTGAGACAGTTACCTTGTGGTAAAGTTCATAAGCCGGCTTCGAATCTGGGTTGATCTCTCATAGTAGTTCACACTGGTTGGCGCTCCCCCTGCTGACTGCTCAGCCTGACCGTGACAGGTCTCTTCCCTGGCCCCCTGTTGACTGCTGTTGTACTTCCGTGTGACCCCTTTTATGGCTTAACAGGCTTGCAAAACAACGCGAGTATAATTAGGAGCGAAGCATTTTTATTGGTCAAAAAATAGAAACTTTAAAATATTATTTTATTTTTCGACTGGAACTCGTACGTCGGGAACATGCGTAAACGAAGATAATGGTCATTTTGTGACAGGGCCTTGTTCCATTCACATCCGGCTCTCGCTCTTGAGTATGTTAGTTTATTTGCTTGTAAATCAGCCGAGATATGTCTTATTTTATTTTATATCAAGGCTCCCCCAGTTCTCGGTCTGATTTACAGTGAGCATTATTCGTGTATATTTGGGTGATTAATTCATGATAAAGTCTCTAAAGCGTGTGGGAAGTTGTCCTCGTGTTCTTCTTATTGGCATTTGTTTCGGTATGGAGTTATTTGCTGAATTATGTGTCCCAGAGGGATGTGGAGGAGAATGATCCTGGTGACTGTTACATGGTGGAGGCAGAGGGATTGTATTAGATAGATGTGTTGGGCGTGGAGCCAGTCGTTGGATATGTGCACGGTGACTCCAGATTGCATCACCATTATCGTTTTGCACCCACCTGACACATCATATTGTTCGTTTTTATAATGGTGTAATTTCCTATCCAGGGCAGATGAGAGGATTGGGCAACAGTTGAGTGTGGCCAATGAAGTAAAACCTTGTCACCTACTTGTATTGGATCCTTGTATGTGAGGTGATTTAAGTTAGTCTCAAGTTTATGGTCAGCTTCATCGTTGGCCAGGGTGATGTGGTGGTGAACCTGCTTTAGCAGGGCATTAATTTGCATTCCATATGCTTCAGGATCGTCACTTGCGATTTCTTTTCTGTGTAGTGTGGGTAGGCCGATGTTGGGGGTGACAGCCAGTAATGGCATAGTGCGGGGAGACACCGGTGGCGCTGTTGGTCGTGGCATTCATGGACAAAACGACAGATTCTAGAACATCTGTCCATTCACACTTCCTGTCTTCGCATAACATATAAAGTGCGTTCTTCATCGTGCGATGTTGTCTTTCGATATTTCCTGAGCTTTGCTGGCACCAAGGACAGTGAAGTTCTTGCCTGAGTGACATCTGGTTACAAAATTGTTGATAGACTTCTCCAGTGAAGTGTGTGCCTTGGTCAGAGGATACTATGTGTGGAATCTCTGTGTCAAAGGAAGAAATGGTACAATCTGCGGGCGGCATCGATAGCACTGCCTCTCGCGTATGGTATGGCTGTAAAGTGTCGGCTGAAGCTATCCAAGATGGTTAGAATGTAGTGTTTTCCCT